CCTCCACCAGCAGCACCAAGTCCACCACCACCAACTCCTCCTCCAGCAGCTAATGTTGTAACATGGAATCCATCACCGCCTCCACCAAGTCCACCACCACCACCAACTCCACCTCCAGAAGCTAATGTTGTAACATGGAATCCTTAATCACTGAATTCACAAGCAAACATGTGTGGTAGAAAATATTTAGAATTTTAAATAAAACTATGAAGAATATTAAATCATCGATTTTTTTTCTTGTTTATCTGCCTCTATGTATAAAAATTTCTCATGAAATATTATTTATTAGTTGACAATTATTAGATTCTTCATTGTTTATATCTCAACTATTTCTTTTTCTCAAAGATTAAACAGAATAAAAAATAATTAATAAGATTCTCTCAAAATTTTAACAGAAAAAGTGACAAAGAAGTATAATACCTACATTCTAACTCCTTTTTCTGATGTTTAAATAAATTAACATCTGCTTATATGACATGTTGAAAAAAAGATGCTTGGAATCGTTATGATGAGTTTGATTAAAACAAAGAATATTTGTATATACTGAAATTTTATAAAAGTTATGTACTTTTTGAAATATTACGAAAAAAAATTGATACGATCTCTATTATGATGTGTACTTTCAGATGTACTATAATTCAAATTAAGATTTCATAATTTGTGTAAAAATTGACAAGATATGAAATACGTTTAAATTGATTGAGTTTGTTATCATATTTTTTGTTTGACATTATAATAAATAGAGTTTATTTTTAACGATTAGAATTAACTAAATAGAGAAAAATAATTTAAACAAATCGAATATTTATTAGAATTTTAATTTGAAGATCATTCAACTTATTTAATCTTAAATGAAATAACAAAGAAATGAAGAAAATTTTCTTTATTCATTAATTATTCAATTTTTATGAAAAGAGAAGAAATTCTATTTAATTAAACAACATATTATTGATTAATTTAATAAAATGATAAAGTTTGCAAGTTTTATTTAAAAGATGCGTCGTAAAAAATAATTTAAAGAGATTTCTTCTCATTTAGTTCAAAATCAATTATCTGAGAAAAAAAAATTATCATGAATTTTCAAAGGAAAGTTAAACAAATTGAATAGTCGAACAAAAGGTTAATCCCTGTGAGATTAAAATGTGAAAAACGAAATAGTTGGTGTAACATATGGTAATGCAAATTAACAATGTTTGCCATGATGTCTGTGGAGGAGGGGGATGAGAGGGTGCAAATTTCTACCTGTAATACTTCAACATTCCTTTTCGTTCGTCTTTGACAAAACAAGATTATTCGATAAAGAATAGGTTTATTTTTCAAAAAAATAAAAAAAAAAAACGTTGCTTTATATATAAAAATGTGTGGTGTTATAATAGAAATATTTGAAAAAAGAAAAGAAAATTAATTAATATTATTTATTAAAAGATTATTAATTTCGTCAATAAATTCTTCTGCATTCGTTTTTCTTCGTATTAAAGAATAATTTGTTAAATTTTGTTCATGATTCATTGTTGTCATTGGTATTTCATTATTAATTGTTATGATTGTATTATCATTTTGAGTTTGTTGTAAATTATTTTGATTAAAATTATGTGTTGGTCTAATAGAAATATCTCTAACAGCACGAAATTGTCCACAATTATTTAAATGTTCATTTTCTAAACGAAAATAATTCCAAATAAATCTTCGAACAATTTCAATAAAAGCAAATGAAAATCCAGTAATATCTGAATATTCTCCAAATAATGAATTAAAATGAATAAATATATTTATTATCCAAATAAAACGAAAGAAAAAATTGATTAAAATCGCTATATAATAATAAAATTTTTTTTCATAAATAATTTGTTGACGTAAATATTTATTTTCATTTGAATTATTTTGAAAGAAACCCCAATCCATTTTAATATCCCAAATCAATTTATAAATTGAACTTATTAATGATGTTAAAATCCATAAATATAAAAATGGATTTTCATATTTATTTTGATGATAATCAAAATTATTAAAACGTCGAAGTGCATTTGTAATAATAACAAAAAGTGTACTCAAATATTTTCCAGCATTAACTAAATGAGGAAATTTTTCTTTTGTTGAATAATATCGACGAATACATTGAGCAAAACGAAACCATGATGGAAAAAATTGAAAAAATGATTGAAGAATTATTTGTGATGAACCATTACAAACAGATGAATGAATTGATTGAGATGAAATCAAATTATTTTCACTCACATAAAAACAAATAAAATATTCCAAATCAAAAAAAATTATTTCAAGTGAACAAAATTGATCAGCAAGCCAAAAATCAACAAAATCAACACGATAATATGGAGCTATAAATACACGAAATAATTTCTTTAAAAACCAATAACGAGAATTTTTATAAAAGATTTTTAATGGATTTATTAAGATTAATATTAATAGAATTGTTAAACATAATGGTTGAATAAATGGATAAATATTATAATAAAATAATAAAAAAAATAAATTTAAACTAATTAACCATAAAACCATTAAAAATGTTGAAATTTCAAGAATTTGTTCATATGTTAAATGATTTCGTGGATCAATTTCAAATATTAATATATGATTAACACCATTAATTGACCAACCATAAACATTGATTCCAAATAAAATCATATGAAATATTATTAAAAATGATGAACGATAAAGATGAAGTCCAGCACGCCAATCAATTTCTTTTGATGATTTATTATTATAAATTAATAATGTTAATAAGATTAATAATGGAATTAATATTAAAATCATTCCAAGAGAAATTCCTAAACGAAAAGTAACTATAGATGAATGTTTTTCTTCTAATGGTGGAACACGAAGACGTTCCATTGCACGACTTCTATTACCATTTGCTAATTTATTTGTATAAAAAGTTTCAACTTCATTTATTAATTCATCAACTCGAATTGATTTATAAAACGGGGCATTGGCAATATATAACATTCTAATTTCAATATAAAAACATATTTTATTGTTGAAATAAATAATTTGAAATTACCTCCATTGATAACCACGATTTGTTTCAAATAATTTATCATGTTTTTTTAATATTTTACAAAATCCATTGAAATTAAGTGTTTGATAATTTTTTAAAATAATTAACATTAAATAAAATTCACTTAAACCTAATTTCAAATCATTTAATTTAATATGTTCATGTTTTTGAAATCGTTTTAAACGAATTTTTGATATTGATTCTCGTAATTTCATTTTATTATTTTCATTTGAGAAATTTAAATCTGATTGATCACTTTTATATAATTTATTAATTACTGTTAAATGACGATCTTCACTATTTCCTTCAATATATTCAAATTCATTTTTAAGAAAATCAAATCTTAATAATGATCTACAAATAAAAATTTTTTTTAGATTTCAATGAGAAATGTTTTTTTTGGAAAAAATCGAATAGAATTTCTTAATGAAAAACTTTTCAATTTTCAATCTATTCTGTCTATTGGACCTTTTTTTGTTGTAGATCTCTATTTCCTTCTAATATTTATTTTGAAAAGAATAAATAAAAACTTACTCAGCTAGTTTTTCTGCAAAAAAAGTATTGATTTTTGTTAATTCTTTTTCACAAAACTAAAAAATAAATAAATAATTGATTTTCAATGTAAATTTATGTTTATTTTTACTTGAAAAAATTCTTGATCAGCATCAGTAAAATATTGTTGACGAATTAAATTTTGATTAATTTCATTGATTAATGGAGCTTTACTTTGAAATTCATAAAGTATTTCTTTCATATCTTCATATTGAATATATTGAGATGACCATTCAGATGTTAAATTCTTACGTAAATATTCACCAAATTTCATTTTCTTTTTCTAAAAATAACAAGATTTACAATTTATTTTCAACATTTTCCAAATGATCAATCGAATAAAATCGACATGAATTATCTCATTTTTAATTTCATATTCAAATATTTCCAAAAGAAAAAGTCAGTTAAGAAAATCTTTCTAATAGAAATAAATATTTATGATAGAAACATGTGTTTAGACTTCAAATATCTTTATTTTCAATATTTACATTGTTTTTACTCTTATCTAAATAATATCTTTTTCGTTTTTTTATTTTTACATCTTTTCATTATTTAAATAAGAAAATATACTTTTATACATTTTAGTTTTTCTAAAATAACATATTTATGATAATAAATCATCAATATATATTTGCTTGTCTTTATTTATTTTAATTCTATGAAAATATTAATGTTTGATTTTCGTAAGAGTAGAATTTTATAGTTTTTCAATGATTTCTTTCTTATCTATTGAAGAGAGAGAGAGAGAGAAATATTATTAAGATTATTGATTCGACACCTTTCTTTTTAATTTCTAATATATTTATCTTGAAAATGATTTAAATAAATATTTCTAAGAATAAAAGAAATTTGAAAACAAATCAAGTTTTTTCCCAAGTTTTGTATTTAGATTTTGATAAAAATAATTTCTTCAATGATAATTCTCATCATAGAATAATAATCCCATGTCAATGTAATCAATTGAAAATATTTAAAAAAATATCTTCTTATTAATATCTCAGAGGATTTATAAGATACTTCAAGTATTTTTAAATACTTCAGTGGTTACGTGTGTTTAGGAAATTGCTAGTTGAAAATATTGATCAAGTACTCAACTAAGTATTATTATACAGTATTTAGAAGTAACGTGTTGCCAAAATTCAAGTATGTTAATCATTCAACCTTACCTTTACTTTTTTTTCATTTTCATCTCTCTCTCTCAAAGTAATTTATGACATTTTTTTAATTTAATTTTATTTAATCTTTCCAATTAAGATCAGATTGTGATGCTCTCAATTAGAAAATAATTCTCGAAAAACTTGATAATTTCTTCTATTTAGCCGAGTGGTTTCTATGATATTGTGTATGAAAAAGAAAGTGATGAATGAACAGTTGTTACTGAGAACGAGATGCAAATAAGTCTAATTACTACGTAAGTTTTTCTTTGTATATAGATATTTTAAAGTGAGTAGCTTCTCTATGAATGAAATAAGAAAAGATATTTAAATATTTGTTTTGTTTAATTTGATTGGTAATGATATTTTTTCATAAATATTTTCAAATGATAATGAGAGAATAAATTGTTCAAATATTGTAATAAAGAAAATATTTGTTAAAGATAAATTAAAAAATGTTACAATGTATATTTTGTATTTTTAACAAAAATATAAATAAAAGATATAATTGGTATAAATATAAACATAAAATAAACAAGATCTTTAATAAGAATTTTAGAATTATATTTAATATTATTTGAATTATCTTGAGATTCTATCGATAATAATGTTGATTGATTTGTTGTTGTTGTTGATGTTGTTATTGGTGATGATGATGATGTAGCTACAAAATAAATATATGATGCAATAAAAATAACAGTTGCACCTAGAAATGATATTGCATTTGTATGAAGATGAAAAAGTGTTATATTAAAAATAAGAAGAACACCTGCTGCACATGCTGTACTAAATGTTTTAACAATTGCATCGGCATATTTATAAACAAATGTTATTGATATACCCAATAATGAATTAGATAAAATTATTGAAACAACAATCCATGAATAACCTTGAAAAAATCTTTTCTTTTCTTGATTTTCATTAATTATATTTGAAAAGAAAATAAATATAAATAAATTAAGAATAAAACCAAATATATAAAGTATTGTATTTTGTAAATTTAAATTAATATTATATGTTTTAACTAAATGTTCATTTAAAACCGAACAAATTGCTGTTATTAAACTTGTTATTGTTAAAAGGAAATAATATTTTCCTTCAAATAATGTTGTACTTTTACAAGCATCATATTGAACAATAATTAAACCAATAACTTGTAAACAAATTGATCCCCATTGTATTTGATTAATATGACGATTAGCAAATGCCCATAATAATATTGCTGATTCTAATGATGATAATGAACGAAATAATATTATTGAAGCTGGATCAACACGTAAAAAAAGTATAAATGCTATTTGATTATTTAAACAATAAAGAAATGCTAAACCAAATGTATTTAATAAAAATTTTTTACTTAATTCATTTTGAATTAATTTCAAAAAATTATTTTCATTTTCATTTTTTATTTTCAAATAATTTAATGAATATAATGATGAACTTATTAAAAATTTAATTGCTTCAGCACATGTTATTATAGCTAATGGAGAATATTCATATTTGCCTTTTGTTTGAGAATATTTATAAACAATTGAAACAAATAATTGAATAATTAATAAACAAATAAATGCAAATAATTTTTTTCCTAACATTAATTACTTTTTTATTCAAAACAAAATTTGAAATTATCTAAAAAGAGATTTATTTTACAATTCTGAAATTATTCTCTATTAGTTTATTTCATAATAGAATAAGATATATCTACATCTCTTACTTTTTTCCTAATCGACTTTTCTCAACAAATTTTATTCTATTGTACTTCAAGAAAATTTCTTTTCTTTTCTTTTCTTTTCTTTTCTTTTCTTTAATATATGTCTACTCACTTTAATCTAACTCTTTCTATTATTAATTGTTTTAACGACTATTATACAAAATTCAACTATCAAATAGGTTTTTTTTAATATAGAAATAGATTTTTTTTCGAAAGAAAATATCCAAAATGACTTCAAACTATGATATTACATTGATGCAAAAGAGACTGTGGGCGTTGATGTCGCTCGTTTATCACATCCATACTTTCATCTCATTTTGTCAAATAATAACTAAAACTAATTTAAAGAATGTTTTATATAAACCTTTTTTATTGTGGAGTGGAATAGAATAGTTGCTCGAAATGACAAATCAATTGATATGATCAAAGAAAAGTGAAGAGATTTTAATTTATCTTTTATAAAAAAAAGAAGAAGACTGAAAGATTGAAATAGTTTTTTTCTATGAATCAATTTTGTTGATAATGATTGAGATTGTCAACTAGAATTAGTTAAACTAAATAGGAGTCATAATATAGAAAAAATTCTTTTTCTATAGAATAAATTTTCAATAGACACACCCACATCCTAATTGAAAAGAATATCTATAGAACACTGAATACCTTCTAAGATTAATTTTTATAAATCAAAAATTATTTTCTAAAACAAAATAAAGATTTTGAAATTCTTAATTAGAAATAAAAGCAATGTTCTATTCTCTATGAAAAATATTCAATAAAACAAAAACTACCTTGAGTCAATGTTGAATTTTCTTTTGTTGAGTGTAATATTTTAAAATAGTATCACTCAATGGATAGTACAAAGCGCGTATTCTATGAAGTATAAAAAAGAAAAAAAGAAAACGAGGAAAAAGTAATATTTTATTTTTTTTAGTGGTTTCTCTTTAATATGTCTATGGTGTTCTTGAAAAAAAAAAGTTTAACTAGTAAATATCATTTCATTTATGACATTCTACTTTTTTTTTAAAAAAAGAAAAAGAGAGAAAAAACTAATTTCATCAAATAGAATATATAACTGTTATTACTTGTAGTTACAAAAAAGGCGTAAGTAAGTGTTTGAAAATCTTGTTAGTTGAAAGCAATTTTTTAAGAACAAAACAAAGAAAAATATCAAACAATCTAATATTTACATTTGAAAAATTTTTCTTTTAATTTCTCCATTCAAAATCGTCAGCATCAATAATATTATCTATATATATATTAGTTTCAATCTTTTTCATTCTTTTAAATAAAAATCAAGTTTAATTTTAATTATCAATCATATTTACAAATAAGTGTAGCGTTTCTTATTAGTGAGATTTTTTTCTTTTCGATATTCAAGATAATTTCAATAACATTCATTTTTTAAATCAACGTTTTGTTTTGTCTATGAATTATAAAAACAGTTGAATATATCTTATATAATATAAGAGCAATAATCTTCTTTTCTATTTTAATTAATTTATTTTTTATTTTTTTAAATTAGATAAATTTCTATGAGATTTTATTTCAATAAATATTTGTTAGTGTAGATAATGTTTAATAATCATTCATGAAAATAGTTTTTGTTTTGAAATTCATCTGAATATATTTCATGACTATCTACCATTATTAACGATGATCGAACTAAATATCGTCTATTTTTTCAAAGGAAAATATTTAATATATAGAATATTTTTTCGCTTTTTCTTCTGGAATAGGGTTTGACTTTGAATAAGAGTGAAAAGAAATTTGAGAAATGTTTACACACAGTTAGAAGATAATATCTATTCAAACATATTACACATTGTTCAAAAAGACTCGAAGAAATAATTTAGTTTTTCTAATTGAGTTTTGTATTTACAAAGCTAGGATAAAATAGGTATGACTAATTTGACTTAGTTTCAACTTTATATATATGTAGACTAATATAAAGTGTTGGCAATGTAAAAATCAAACAAATATTTTTTTTCTCAATTTTTATAAATCATTCGATAGAATTTGAGTCGCTAACCATGAATATCAACCATTTTCTTTCAGCCAAAAAAGACGGAAAGCTTTAAGCAACTCGTTTTTTTTCTACTTCCTTCTATTTTTTTAGATTCATCATCAAAAACTAAATAAAAAAAAGGTTCTTAAATGTACGCGAGAGTCAAAACTATGTTGATGATGGCGCGTCTAAATGCGTTGAGTGTATTACGTATAGGTCAATTTTGTAGACCTATCTGACTTTTTCACATGAGTGACCAAGCGAAATATTATATCTCATTCTGCTTACCACATACGACTCCCTATGAACAAGCTATGGACCATTATTTCTTCTTTTTCTTCTTCTTCTTTCTGTGTTGACAAAAATCGCGTTTATTAATATAATAGGGTAATGGAGAATTAATTTCTAAATAAAATGATCTTTTTTTATTCAAACCGAGGTAAAAATTGTCTGCATAAGTGAAATCTGATTATAAATAGAATCCAAACACTTTGGAGGTCTCGAAAAAGTTTTTCAAGGATCTCTAGAAACTTTTTCTCCGAACTAGTAGAGTTTACAATTTCTAATTAATATTTTATTATCTTTCATAAACAAACTGATTGCTTTTTCATCATTTCTCGTTATTTTATGCGGTTGACTCTATAATGTAAACGTAAACATGTAAAATAGAAGTAGTGTAACTGAAAAAAAGACTTTTAATTAGTCTTCCTCTATAGTTTTATTTTAGGGAAAAATGTGTTTTGATCAACAAATTTTTTATAACTTTTTGGCTGCGAGTTTTTTTAAAGGAACTTAAAAATTCTTTTTTGTTATATATTTGATCGTAAATTAATCTGTAGTTCTAATTTATCAAAAATCCTCATATATATGAATGCTTAGAAGTTTTTCAAAGTGTGATACAGTTCAAAATAAGGTACAACGCAAAGATCGACATTACACTGCACACATTCATATTTTGTTTTAGTATTTTTTTTCGTGAAAGTTGGTTGGTATATTTATTATCCATTACTGATTATTAGAATAAAATAATTTAATTATAACCCAAATTCTATAAAAAAAAGTCTCTGATAAATCCTTTCAGCAAAACTGATGTCGCATAGGAATCAATATGTTTCAAAATATGAGAAAATCACTATAACACCATACGGGGTCACTCGCAGCCAAAGGGTTAATTAAATCAATGATGATAAATAAAAAGAAACACATTATTGAGAGTATGGGTGAGTGTAGATGTGAACGTAGGCGGGTGTGAATGTCGGCGGAGCGTACACTTACCATCCTACTCGCCCAATGACTGAAAATGTTTTTTTTCAATGACGAGAGCTGATTTAGAACAAATTTTGTGTTGTTTTTTTAGCAAGTTTTGCTCTAAACACCCTTTTACACCCATCTCCCAATCTTTGACCCTTCGCGCGGGCTCTGCCCATATCCGCACTCTCAATAATGTGTTTCTTTCTATTTATCATGGTTAGTTTAATTAAAAATAAATTTGGTGATCAAAAAACTAGCAACCTTGTATTTTCTATTCTATAATGTGACTAAACTAATGTTTTACCTTGAGAAGATACTTTGATTGAACATCAACAGCGATAGAATAAATTTCATGAAATATCTCATCCGACGAAATTTAGAAGATAATCTGCTATTAGTTTTATTATTTTTTGAGAGATTTTGGTCTGTTATTTGAGGACTCACTTGAAGACGAAGCCAGTGCACTTCACCATCGATGCGCTGATGTATTTTGTTTCAGCTTTTGTTTAGTTTAGACATACCAGATTGATATATCTCAGGTATTAAATGAAGTTATCTTAAAAAAAGATATATAAAGAAGAGATTTTCCAGAGATCTTTCACAGCTTCCAATAGGACTTCCACATAGTATCGATTCTATTTATGATCAGACCGTACTTATGTAAACAGTTTTTGAGTCAATTTTGATGAAGGGCACTTTTTTTATTTAGACATGACCTTCTCATTTGTCTTGTTCTATCAATCAAAACGATATTTGTTAACACAGAAAGAAAAAGAAAAAATAATGACCCATAGCATGATAATGAAGAGTAGTATGTGGTGAGTAGAATGAGATAAAATATTTCGCTTTGTCATTCATGTGGAAAAACCAGATAGGTTTACAAAACTGGCCTAAAAGTAGTGCACTCAACGCATTTAGAAGCGCCATCATCAATAGAGTTTTGAGTCTAGAGTCAATTTAAGAATGTTTTTTTTTCGATTTAGTTTTTGATGGTGAATCTAAAAAAGATATCTTGAAAAGAAAAATAATTACTTGAATTTTTTCGTATTTTTTGACTGAAAGAAGGTATTCGATAAAGCAAAACAGTTGATATTCATGATCAATTGCTCAATCTGTATAAAATGACCTATAAACACCACAAAAAAAATGTTTATTTGAAGTTTGCGTAATATGCATCTTCTATTACTATATATGATTGAAATCATTGGAGAAAGATTTCGCTTTACAAAATGTTTTTATTGAATTATGATAATAAATATGTCCATTGTTATTTTCAAAAAAAACGAAGACTTTAATTTTTGTTTTTTTCTCGACAAAGTTTGGTCACGAAAAATAGTTGAAATGTTTAGATTTACAATTAGAAAATAAGCTTTTGGAGAACATACGAAATATATATAATATTAATTCTAAAAAAATATTTTTCAGATGAAATATATCTCTAATATATTTGTTTATTTCAAATATTTTATTATATCAATCAATATTCAAGTAATGTAACTATTATGAAATAATCAATCTGATAAAATTTATTAAAAAAAATATTTCTACAAACGATAATGTCATTAATATCAGGTGACAATGGATTTTATGAAACACGTCGTTCATTTTTAAATAGAAAAAATTTACTGAAATTTCTAATCGTTATTATTTTCCTTAGTTTAATTTATGTATTCATCTTCAGAGAAAACTTAAGAATACATATTAATTTCATTAGTATTAAATTAAAAAATTCTAGTTTGATCAAAGTTAATTTAACTGATGTAAAAGAAGTTAAAATAAAATCTCCTTTTTATCGAACTCTTGGTTTTATTCGATGGAATGCAGCTCGTCTTGAACGAATACCAGTTATGGAAAAATATCGACCTTTTTTTGCTGAATTACATTATTCAATACCCGGTCATGCACCAAAAGTGACTTACACTGCTGATGGATCTGGAGATTCATTTTATATATATAAAGAAGTTAGTGATACGATGGAAATTATTTTAAAAGATCATCCAATGATTGAAGGACTTTTATACTTTCATTTTGACGTAAGTTTATTTAAAGAAAATATAGGATTTCCCAGAATGGGTGTGAAGTGTTTGAATTGTATATGTTAGAAATCGAAATTAATTTTAATTTAAAAACTATTTAAATAAATATTTGTTTAGGCTTGGATAAATCCATTCAGATTTGATAATATGAATTTTAATCATATTTGGTTTCCTGATTCAGCTTTACCTCCATTCAGATGTGTAACAAATACAGCAGGATGGGATTGGTGGGCATGGGGCAGTGGATATCATACTATTGCGAAACAAGCGACAGCTAATGTTGCAAAGAATTATTCAAATCGATTTATAACAGATAAAGATGTATTTTGTGGAGGGTAATTGATTTTCTTTAATTGAAGATTCCTGCACGTGTTTTTTTTCTTGATTTTTAGATGGTCTGATATTTATTATATTCCAAGAAGATTTTTTCGAGATTTTATTGATTTAACAAGTGTATTTTATCCAATTCGATCATTTCATGAAGTTGGAATTCCAACTATGATTAATATTATTGATCTTACTCATCGATTAACACCTTCTCATAGTATTGTTACACGAATAGCAGATTGTTGGGGACATTGTTGTGCAGGTGGTTCATCAGAAAATGATATAAAACAAAAACGATGTGGTCACAGAATGGATTTAGCTAATGAAGGTATTAAAAAGACATTAATTAATCTTTTGGAGTCCGAGGCATCTTATCTTAATAAAACTATTTCAAAAAAAATCAAATAAATAATCAATTGTTTTATCTTTTTTATATTAAACTTGTTTTTCATATGGAGAAAAAAATAGCGATTATCATAAATAATCAATATGAATATTTAATGAAAAGATATAAAATAGTGTTATAATATATTCGAATTGAAATAGAAATGAATAGATTCTTACATGAAAATTCTTCATCTTTAATCGAAATTATTATCTGATAGAAAAAAATGTTTTAAGTTAGAATTTGAAAATAATCAAAAGAAAATCTTATTAAACAAATGTTAATTGAACTTTTTATGTTGAAAATATAATTTCGATTTAATAATAAATTTTGTTAATATTAATTCAATGAATAATTATATTAATAAATCTATTTTTGAATTATTTTTCATAAAAAACTTTATAAAAATTACGAGAGAATGTCTTGAAAGAAAGAAATAGAAAAGTGCGTTAGAATATTTAAATGACAGTTATCATTTTTACATGTTTTCTTTCTTCGTTCAATAAAATATGATTCGAATATATGTCAATTTCTTTTTCTTCTCAGCGCTGAATACGCGACATATACATTTTTTTTTCTTATGCGTGTGATCTAATGTAACTGTAAGTGTGCACATTTTTTATTTTGAAAGTAACAAAAGTTCTCCAAAGCAGAACCTCTAATAATCGATATAGGAGAAAATCTATAGATTATTGGAATTATTAATCAATCTTGTTTATTATTTCTTATAATTATTAAAATATAAAAGATAAAATTCGAATTTTTAATATTAAGATTTCAATGAAGAAAAAAGAAAAAGAAAATATTTTTGTATTTATTTTATTATCAATTGACGTTAATCGAACTTTTAAATTGTTGAATTTTCTTAAGAATATTTTTTCTATGTAATTCATTTTGAATGTGATATTTATTTTGAAGATTTTCATCATTAATATAATTGAGAAGCCAAAATCCATCAACAAAATCATCTTTAAAAGCTTTGGCATAATTTTTATAATCATCACCCAATGATATTAACCAATTAGAAACATCATCACATGATTGTAATCTTTCACGAAAATGATATGCTAAAAATAAGAAATCAATAATATAAATAACTTATAATATATTTTACAGAAAAATCTTCCGATCTTACGCATAGAACAATACAATGACATTGTATCATGTGATAGATGTCGACTGAAATTATTTGATTGTTGATCAGAATGTCCAGGACCATGACTATTAAAAAGTGATGGTTCAGTTGTATTAGCATGAGGAGTTTGTTCTGTTTCTTTGATTGAATGTAATTTATGATTAGATGAAATAGGATGAAGATCTGATTTTGTAGACCACATTTTAGAAAATAATTTAGCTTTCGGTGAAATATTATCTGTTTGAATAAGTGTTGATTGTTCATTTATATTTCGTTTGTTTTCAATAGATGAGTTCTTAGTTTGATTTAATTGCAATTGAGGGTTTAAAGAAGGAAAAGTTGAAGGATATATTCCTTCTGGTCTCCATTGCTCTCCTTCACAAATTAACCATTTACTTACACATTCAATAAATTTAGGAGCATATAAATCTTTCAACCATTTTTCTGGTAAATTTTTGTATCCATAATAAGCACCAGCTAGTTGTCCATATATTGCTGCAGTTGTATCTGTATCATCACCAAGATTAACAGCAGCAAGAACACCTTTTTCAAATGTATCATGAAAATAAAATGCCCATAAAGCAGCTTCAAGTGCATCAACAATATATCCTTTTCCTCTAATACCTTGATCATAACCATTTTTTCCTTTATAAGATCCTTGAGCAATTTTCATAATATTTGGATGTAATGGAATATTATTAAATAAACGTTCATATTTAAAAAAAAAGTTTTTATCAAGTAATTCATCTTTATTTAAACCATGAATAGCAGCAACAATTAAAGCACCATAATAACGACATGCATCAAATGCAATTCGATCACCATGACTTATAACTCCACTGAAACCAGAGAAAGCAACAGCTTCAAGAGGATTTCGATGGAAAAATAATGGAACGGGAGCAAGTCGCATTAGAGCTCCATTACCAGCTACACCTTTTGAACTACAATACACATCAAACTCAGTGAGAAAACTCTGATCAGTAAGATAATCGATTTGTTCGAAAGGAATATTATGGTTTTTAGAAAACTCATGTTGACGACGTTCAAATTCATTTATCGAGTTTTTTGTAGCAGAACCAATATCAAAACATTTTCCTGTTGAAGACATATAACCATCTTTATACCACCATTTATAACGAACTAATTGATCGTAAGGAACAAAATCTTGACGAGTTATTAATGAATTAGCAAGACAAAGAGCCATTGATGTATCATCAGTAAACTAAAATAAATATTATTTACAGATTCTAAAATCTTTTCTATTTCCTTCGTAACGGTAACTATTAAAACTAATAAATATTGAATATGAAAAAAGTATCAGAATTATAAAATAATATAAATAGACAATACCTTTCCTTTATCTAGACCCCATGTTCCCCCTCCTTGTAAATCCTTTACTGGATGTTCAACTAGATATTGACGAGGTCGAAATTCAACAGAAGCACCTAAAGCATCACCTAAAGCCATTCCAAACATTGAACCTTGAACACGATCTAAAAGATCATTATCAGCTTCATAAGTCGGAGGATCTATCATTATTTTAGCAAGTTCATCAGGTTTTAATATTAATCCATTTTTATGATATTGACGATCGAGCCAGGTTTTGTCTAAATTGATTTTTAAAAATCAATAAATATACTTAGTAATTTTTTAACTAACCTGTTTGATATCGACATGCATAATGAGTATTTGATTGTGTTGTCATTCCTAACATATAGAAATATATAAGATTATCAATTAGATTAATTTACAAATAATTTATTCAAAATAATTGAAATTTTCTTATGAACTTGACTTGACTCCATTATTAGAAGAGAAATGGAGGAGATTTTCTATTGTCGTTAAAAATATTATTTTCGCTGTAGAGGTTAAAACAACAATTCGTCATTCTTTTTCTTTTCTTCCGACAAGACATATGAATAATCAACGAACTTTATCTTTACAATTCTTTTTTTCTTTTACTTCTTTTCTAGATGAAAAAATAAAATTGTTGTATGAGAATATTTTATTATTAAGTTAAAATAATCGACATGAAAATAAAAAAGAAAAGGAAGAAAATAAATGAAGTAACAAACATTTTGCTACACAAATAAATATATGTATAGAACTGTTAAATAAAATATAACCTATTAGAAAATATTCATCATGAATTATATTTTTTATATGTAAAATTAACAACAAGATTCAATCTGATAAGAACAAATTATTTTTATCTTATCTTTATTTAAATATAATTTGTCAAGAAAATCATTTATTTTTATTAATTGTCAGTATTGAAATTATTTTTAAGTTCTTATTAAAATATATCGAGAATATTTATCTATATATTCTATTAGATAAAATCTCTTACAAATTATATTTTTTATGAAAAAGACAATGAAAATATCGATTAATCATTTTTTAAATTAGTTTTTAACAATTTATTATTGAAAATTTGTCTAACATTTAATACTTTATCTATAATTTAACTTGTAAAATTGAAGGATAATTCTATAAAATTTTCTTATCACATATAACACATTTTGAAAATCTTATTCTATTCACCTTCAATTAATCATATTTAACCACAAAAATTCATTCTTTATTTTTTTTACCAAATATGAAAAACAATGTATTGAATTGTATATTTAAAGTTCTATTAGAGAAAATAAACAAGAAATTTCCATTTTTAAATCTAATAAATATTCAATTAGAAACAATAAAATTTAAGTTAGAAACCAATATAACGGTTTTAACTTAATATTGAAACAATCGACCAAACGAAAGTATAATAAATATGAAAAGTTTTATGAAAATTCACAGGGTGAAATTTTTCTTTACGAAAATGCATCAACAGTCATTCAATGTCAATCGATGAACAAGATGAAAAAAGAATACGTTGTATTGAATGTATCCAATATGATGTAGGATTATTTTAATGACTATTATATGTTGCATGATATCTCGGAACAAATTAAATATTTATTTGAACTTTTTAAAATAATTGTCTAGAGTGAAAAGGTTAATAAAAACATGGACTATACTCAAACTTATCTTCAATGGTATTGAACATGAAGAAACCCAAATCTAACTATCGTTGATCTTAATTATAAATTTCTGATTAGATTGTAATACGAATAGTTATACATAATTCAATCTATCTGATAAGAAAATAACTGATGATCAAAGATGAAATCTGTTCAATATGAAAAAAATAATTTATTGACAAGAGTTTCGTTTTATTCATCATTAAAATCGAGAAAAATTTCTACAAAAAATTAATAAGAACAACTAATGATCAATATATGATTTTAATGAATATTAGAATTTTTCATTGGATTTTGTTCATAAAAATATAGTTTTCGAAAAACGATTTTGTAGATGATAATTATTCTAATAATGAAGAAAGTATTTGAGAATGAAATCTTTCTCACATAAATAGTTTTACAAAGATTGTGATTAAATATTTTCTTTTCATTCATACAACGTTTTCATAAGATATATTATTAAAGTCTATTCTATTGATTACATTGACAAATATGAGAAATAAAAACAGCAAGATCAATACCATGAATGAAAATAAGAACTCCATCATCATGACCATGACTAATTTCAGGAAGATTACGACGGCATGATGCTTCTTCATTTGTATATGACCAACGTTTTCTTTGAAGGATATTACGACAATGTCGACGTTTTAAAAGTTCATAATCATAATTCATATCACCATCATAATACCAATCATTACATTTTCCACATTCTAAACAAGCATTACCACCACAACGTTTCACTTTCTTTTGTAATGATGGCAAACTTATATCAGATGGAGCATTTTCTATCACAAATCAAATGAAAAAAAACGTCAAATTTATAGTAAAAAAACTTTTTTTCTTATTACTCATCTAATCT